TATATAAAGGGCAATTATAAAAATTAAAAATCGATTAAAAAATATTACGACACGGACAGGACTTCAACTGGCATCCAAAGCCTTTCTATCTAATGTGAAAATATAATACGGCTTTAGATGAACTGAAAAATATTAATAAATTAATAAATAAAATAAAATAAAAAGAATATATGAAAAATGTATAATCATAGTAATAAAACTGTATAATAGCTTCTTGTTTAAATTTGAAATTTCGATATTAACTCAACTAAGTTAATGATTGTAAAAATACAATTATTATATTTAAACTTCTAGCTCCTTTGTTGTTTAGATCAAGAATGCAATTAGGAAAATATTTATTACCATAGATAACAGTTTCCCGCCAAAACGGGTCAACGCCACAGATTAAACAAACATTAAAAAGACATATGATTCTAAATTTAAATTTAAAGTGTTTTATCATAGCAACCACTATAGTATACCTTTATTTTATCATTCAATAATGTTCTTATTGTGCTAACTGGTTTCACATAGAAGCGAGAGCAAGAATCATCCATTGCGGGTGAGTATTTGACAAATGTCCGATATAAGCGCGGAACAAATTGACGTAATTAATTACGGGAAGAGCTGGCAGCGTTGAGCCAACAAATATTATCAAGATCGTTAATTTCTACATCTTAGTCGAGATGATATTAGGCGTTAGAGATGAATGTGCGGTACTTGCCATGACGGGGCCACGTTGCGCTAAATGTGTTCGATCTTGTTTGATTGCCGCAGTTATAGCTCTGGACACAAATTACATCGAATAGTTCGAATGAAACTCATATATCAAATGCGAAATTTGACTGAGGGACGCCCAAATCGTTCCGCCAAAGTACAGTTAAACCGCTTTATGCCAACGACGTTTTGTGGATTAATGGACTGCGTTCTAGTTCGGTTCTACTGTATAGATTTAATACGACATACAAATTATTAACTACAATAAAATTATCTGTATAATTTTCTAAAGAATGATATATCAATTGAACCTCGATACTATATTTTTTTGTTTTATGTATGTATTCACATTGTCAATTGAAGCTTGAAATAAAAGCGAAACTTTTTTGCCTTTCTGTTGTCTATGTTGCGGACTATCGTATTACTAGCTGCAAATTTTCTATATGTTAAGAAATAAATAATAATTACTATAAACACTAGGTTTGTCTTTAGCATTTATACTATTACTACAATTTTTTTATTAAATTTGCCTCAATAAAATTGACACCTTTATTTACATACTTGAGTTAAATTAAGCAAAACCCCACACATAATGTAAAGAAGTCAAAGGTTGTATACAAGCTTTGAAATTAATAAATATATGTACGCCTTTTCTGGTAGGTGTAATAAATACTTTCGTTTCAATCCTACAGCCGCACTCGCTCATAAAATGTGAATATAAAATTGCGAATGTAACACATGACTCTTAATGAAAAGTATATTATCTTCCATAAAAACATTTTATGCCAGTTTTCAACGGTGGTTATTAAATTAAATCATAATTTACACGCGTCGAGTTAAATCGGACTGTTGGGTCGTGAAATAGTAATAAAAATGATTAGACCTACATGCTTTCGAAGACGACTTTTTATTATCAGATGTATGTTTTTGCTTCTACGGTGTCATAAATGCTGCAACAATTTTTTATTCAGTCTTAAATGTTCATATGCTTAAGTCATCGCTTTATTAGTTCTACAAAAAGATTTGGATAAATTAACACGTACAACTAGACTTCGTAGCGGCGTACATTTGCTACGCAGTGCACACTCTACGCGATTGTTGTAGCACTTTCGTAGCTCCGCTACGCGATGTTTGTGTACTAACTAAACACTTTGTTTTATTAAGCCTTCTTTTCTTATTATCAATAAATTTATTTCTCACTTTGTTTCGACTGTACATGAGCGGAACTGAAACTGTACTAGATTTAAGGTAACCCGAATATATAAACGTAATAATTACCTGCCCTCACGTACTGTTAATATTAACCTAATTGAAACGGATACAATAAAAAACACAGTGATATCCTTAATCTTGATAATATCACCGCCTAAGCACCTCAGGGCTAAAACCACAGCAGATAATCTAATTCTGTTGAACTTCCAAGGAATCGTTGGCAAAGTATTTACTTAAATGTGGTCTTCAGATTGCGAGGGAGAATGCGATGAAAATTATACCTAAAATAATATTGACTCAAGCAATCTGTAAAATAGGCGTCCCTTACTGAAATAACAATAGGATCTTGTCGTCTCATCCCATCTCGGAGATTTTTTCGGTACATTTTAATATCACTAATACATTATTCGTATCGATTCACAACAATGGATATGGCTATTCACTTTGACTATCTAACCATATCTTTTGGTTTTCTATCTTTTAAGACGTGAATGCCCCTTTTGGGCCACGTTCTATATCCTTGTTTATTTCGACAATAGCCGAATAGTAATCACAATATTAATGTTTTTGAAAGAAAGAAAACATTCTATATTTGCCATCATAAAAAATTGTTACATAATATAAATAATCTTCAAACTCTAACTAAATTTCACTTGAGATTATGCACTACTCGATGTGGCAAAGGTTTTTGGAAAACCCCCGCCCCCCCTTGCCATCAACAAAGTAGGCGCTAAAGTGATTTTCAGTTGTACCTTAAACCTAGACTCTTGACGTTTGACGCGATAAATATAGTAAAGTATGTATAGTACTGTGAAGTTCCGTTTCCCTCTGTGGGACGTAGGCCAACACACAATTTTATTACAGAGAATTGTCAAATGTCAAAATGAGTCTGTTCAGATAATTGTGGTCCAACTAAAATAACTTATTTTTCCTCTAGCATTTTAACCTTTTCGTACTTAATCTAATGCTACGCGTTAAACTATCGACCGGAGACGGTCATACATACAAACTTATCCTTATTATTACTTAGACAACCGGAAACGATAAGATTCCTACTCCGGGTTGTCGATTCAGATATTTTGTTGGTGACGTAACAGAAAAGGGACCCAAGTTTATTCGTCTGATCTGGACAAACCTCACTTTCATGTATATTTTATTTCTGATAATATTCTTATATGAAGGGCCTGTATACGAATGACATATTGGAGAAACGTATCGTTTAGGTTTGATCGGAATAAACGTACTGGCGCTGGCTTAGTTCAGTAAAATGTGAAATATTATGAGGGTTTGTGAGGCGTGCATTTACTTAGTATTCAGTCTAAACTAGTTACGTTCACATTTCAATTCTAAAATTTTGTTTATAGACTTAACTAATGGCAATTATTATTGTTTTAATTTTAAACTCCAATGAATTTTGGGTGAAAACATAGAATATAATTTTAAACTACAATTAAAAACAAATAAATTTCAAAGTCGTTCTATATTTAAAACGTAATCTGCCTTAACTTATCTGATATTTCACAACAAAAATTACCATACAAGTTGCTCCTTTGTTGTTGTGAAATTTTTTATTTAATTTCGGGCAATTATTACACGCGCTCTACGAAATTACTCTAAGGAATAGAGGCCTACGTCGTTTTTATTTCTAAAAAATCCTACCTCTTTATAATGAAAGCTTTATATCACTAAATAGGATTCCCGCTGTTATTGTAATCATTTTATTATATTAGGGAAATATTATGGAGCGATGTTTTAGTCTCTTATCGGTTGACATTAGCTAAAAGTAATGGAAGTAATTTAATATAGGAATTTCGGATTATCTTTAAAAATTACGATAATATTCAGTTTTACGACTTGCCGTTAGTATCATTATTTGTTTAGTTATTAGTAATCTTATTAGATTAATATTGTTCCTTTTTTTGATGTTCGTTAGGTGTACGATAGAATTAGGTTATATGAAAACTAACTATAGTATGTACAAAGTTTAATTAATTTACAGTATGTACATCATCAAAATTTTAATTAATTCGACGCATGATTAGATTTTTTTTATGAACGAAAAATGCAATAAATTATATTTTCCATACAAAAATACTTCAATAAGTCTGTAGACATACACTCGAACATTTTTTATATTATAATACTATGCAGTTAAACAAACCAGGAGTTTATAATTATACTGAAAATAAAGGAGTTTAATATGAAAACAAAAAGGGAACAAGAACAATTTTACGGCACACGAATGCACACGTCAAGCCTACTGGATCAATCACAATTTAAGACGAGGAAATGACAGACTACGGCAGTTAAACACACCGGTGTCAGGTATATAAATCACGACGCGTAATAAGCCAAATGTACAAAATTTCCCTTTAGATACAGACAGGAATATGTACTCTGTTTCGTTCAAGTAAATATCTATAATATCTTTACAATCTACTTTTAATCTATTTTATTAAAATGTAATTCAATTGACTTTAGTTTATTGTTTCTTCACTCATATATCCCTTAGGTGTTAAATATCTACGAACATTGTATATTTAAGTGGTTAAAACAAAAGAACATCGCTGAAAACTATAACTTGGTTGTTTCAATAAGTAATAAAAATGAAATAAATAAAAGCAGTCACTTACCTTTTTCACGTTGTGAAAGTAATTTTTTAACCTGTGATTTTAACTGTGAAACTATTTAAGGAATTATATTCTTAAAGAAATAAATGGAATGTTTTATTATATCACTATCTAATTTACGATAGATAAAAACTGGATATAGGTAGTGAGTGGTAATGGAGTAGCTTATTTATTGACATAATAACAATAATTTTAAAACTCGTAGGTTTATAATTTAGGAAAAATTAAAAACTCAATCAACGTATATTAAAACTTGAATGTAATAAAGATAAGCTATTCAAATCACACCGTTACTTATCTTCACTCATTTTAATACATACACTCCTTAGATGACATGCCACGTCATATTATGTTCTATACATCGAGTCAAAAGCGATTAGCACAAGTACACGAAATTCACGCTACGCTACAATTTGGTGTATATTGTTTCACAACAATTTTCATCGCTGGCAACTAATCGGTATGCAGGGGTATACGGTACCTGCCTACCTCGGCATCCGTCACTTGAGACACTTAATATAGACCCGACTGTCACTAGTAACGCTCTTTGCTCCGAACGTAAGTGAAGGCGAAATTGGCCACAACACTACCTTTTATTTGTTTTGTTTTCCTTCCTTCTATTTAAGTGTGGGTAGTTTACGCATGTATACTAGGAATATTTAGATTTTGGATTTAACAGATTAAAACGTGAAATATATTATAAGAAATAAGAATAGAAATAAATTGATTTACTTCCAAGCTATATGTGTATACAGTATGCATACCACTACGATATTGGTCGCATAAAGCCTAAAGCCTTCCTTGATAAATGGTCTATCAAAAAATAATTTTAGTAGTTCCTGCGATTAACGTGTTCAAACAAACAAACTCTCCAACTTCATAATTTAGATAGTATAGAATTGAACATTTATTCATTTTGTGCTACATATTTTTTAGATGCCATTCAATGTTAGTAAATATTTCCTGAACATCTGTCTCAGTTACTTATACGTTGGGGTTTATTTATGTCACCGTTTTGTTAAGGGGTGCAACCATAAATTTAAGTTCCGACAGTAAACTGTAAGCTATGGCCATACATCAAAATGAGAACTACCTATACTCCTTGAGACGTAGAAATTTCGACTTGGAACCACATAAACAAAGACAAACGAGGACCTCACGTAATTCAGAGCGAATTATTTCACAAATATCTATAAAAATAAAACAAATTTTGTTAATATTTTCCTAGATTATTGAAATTGGTTTTGGGTTTGAATCCTGTTCATTTATTTTTTTAATTTCTCTAAATCAGTCTTAATTAATTGCGCGAGAGCTGCATGTATCAATAAGTTGAAAAAAATAGACGATGCCGTGTAGGACTCGGTAGCTCAATTGGTTAGAGCAACAGCACGGAACGCTGAGGATGCTGGTTCAAGTAGATTCGAGTCGTTTTTTTTTCAATTTATAATCGATTTTTAAATTATACAGTCTTAATTAATTTATCAGTATTGTATTACTGATTTTATAGCCGAAGTCTCGCTTGTACTAGTTAGTATAGTGCTATTATTCTGATTTTTCCTGTATATGAATAATTTAATTCAATGAATTTCTCCTTGTTTCAGAGAGGCTCAGACGAGCTTCTATCCCAGAGTGGGGTGACCGTCATGGCGCCCGCCGCACCACACCATGCTGACAATAACAATCAGGATTCTGCCGCCAAAAAAGTAAGCAACATATTTTTTACAAGTTTACCTTCTTTCAGTATATGAAGGACTAGTTGGCTAGTGATTGTAGAGTATAGTTAAGTAAATATAGGGTCCAACATTTTTCTAATCATAAATTGTGGCCAGCTTTCGGCGAATTACTTATCATATTTTCCAAATATGCCGGCTTCTTCTGGCAAGTTTCGAGATTAAGGAAAAAAGGGAAGAAAAGGAAAAAAAAAAAAAAAAAAAAAAAAAAAAAAAAAAAAAAAGAGCATCAAATTATATAAATTCATTTTAAAATTTGTTTTTTCAAACCTCATCTTATCTTTATAGATGTAGGTTGTTCCCCCCCCCCCCGGGGGCCCCCCCCCCCTTTTTTTTTTTTTTTTTTTTTTTTTTTTTTTTTTTTTTGGGGGGGGGGGGTCCCCCCCCCCCCCCCCCCCCCCCCCCCCCCCCCCCCCCCCCCCCCCCCCCCCCCCCCCCCCCCTCCGGGTTTTTTTTTTTTTTTTTTTCCCCCTTTTTTTTCCCCCCTTTTTGGTTTTTTTTTTAGTGGGAGGATTATTGTTGGTTTTTCAATATTATCTGTAAAGTAGTACGGGAGGGGTACGGGATGAAATATACAATTGTAGTTAGATTTTTAGTCGGTGTCTCGTTAATATTTACTTGATTAAAAGCGTAATTATTTAAAAGAAAATCCACCCAGTCGCCTGTACAACGTTTAATATTTATTTTTCCATTAAAGTCGTTTTGGTTTATTAACAGATAAATCTCAAAGTTCATAATTACCTCGCCTTACATATTGTAAATGGATATAAACGCGAAGCTGAGGTATTAAGGGAAAGAGGCCCTCGTAAAGATCCAGCATGTCGTAAAGGGACATCCCTGGAGGCTTTTAAGACCGAAATATTTATTAATCTTCTGCCGACTTTTGAATTTTACAGGTTGTTCAATTTTGTGTTTATTAAAAAAAATTATACAAATTCGTTCAGTATTATCCGCAACCACGACCGCTGCAAAGCATCCGAAACGTCGTGTCCTAGTTAAAATAAGTAATATTTCGCGTTTTGATTCGTTAAAAGTGTTTCATTAAAACTTGCTAAATTGGTACAAACAAAATTAATCAATAGCCATTTAACTTCTTGTTAACTTGAGTTATATATACACTCATAACTTTTAAACCTGCTTAAGTGAGATTGGAAGTCTCTTGATTGTAAAAAAATTATCAATGAATTTTGTTTCTTTGTTAGCTACGTTATAATAATTATAATAACGTATAAATAAAAAGTTTGACTGTTTATTAAATTTTGGTTAGAAAAATTAAAATTTTTCTCCAACAATGTAAATCCTTGTAACATTTATAACACGGGCATATCCCGGTAAGTAATAAATTCATGGCGTCAACTCAGTTTTTACAGCGATCCAATAGAACAAACACACGTCTGTATACAAATTTCCCGCAAAAGTTTGGATAGTTAAAAGAATGGCGAAGCGCTGTGTATTTAAACAGAATTGTACCTAAACAAAAAGCGTATGCAACTGTAATGAAAAAATAAACATTGTCGCCGTTTGGTTTTTTCCATTTCGGGGTTGGTTCATTGTATTTTTGCATAGAGGTGCAGGCCACGTAAATATACATTGTTTGGTACAATGTAGCGTTTTATTTATTGTTGGCTAGCGTAGAATATTTCCAAGAAATTAATTTACATTAGTCGGCTGGCTTTATTGTAATACCCATACCGGGATAATTTATTTTGAGCACTTAATACGAATTCATTTGAGCGCGTAAAGCACTCTATATTAAACAATTCCCTTCGTTTCCATTTTATATCTTGGAGGGAAAAAGTCGGCTCCATGTTAGTTTTACCGACCATTTACTCACTTGTTAGGAATGTTCTGGAAAAAAGCTCGCCTCGGTAATCTTAATTACATTGTGATCTCGTTACAGCCCGACCCTAATTCATAATTAAATAGGGACGTGTCTCTGGGTCTCTTATTTATTTGCTATTTTATGGTTTTACGATTTCGCTCAGTGTTTTTTTCTCTAAGATTATTTAAACATCCATTTCTGCGACACCCTTCTGCTTTGTTGCTCTGAATATTCATTAAGAATCCATCGTTGGAATTGCGACTCGTTTAAAAGTACTCCGTTTTTTTATTTAACCATTTCACGAGAACCATTTGATACTTTTTTATTTTTCGTTCGCTGAAAGCGTCATAATATTCGGGGATGAATGAAAATGAAGCGGAAAACACACTAATAAACCCTCGTCCTCTTTGACCGAGTCATTAATGTCCAAATAAAGTAATTAATTATGGTCTTCGCTTCTTCCTTATTTTCGTGGCGACTACCTGTAAAAACAGAGCGACGCTCATCGAAGATCAATCAAATGTTATTTAGTATGAAAGCCTTGTTCTCCCTTCCCACGATGACCTCTACATCAGGATTTATAAATAACCTAGAATGTTTGATTTGCTAATTATAGTGGTGTTATACATCTATTATTTAAAATACATAAGTTTTAAAATAATACAAATATGTTTCTGTAATGTTTGTATTTTTTAACTAACTTAATATACATATACATTTTTATTATGAATTGTTATTCCTAATTCTAGGTGCTATTAATTAGATGTTACAAGTTATTTGACTTCCAAGTTTTTAATAATGTTAGTATATGTTTATTTTCTTATTCTATTAAATTTTAATACGGACTAATATTGCATGCAAAAGCTATGATTACTTCCGTAAGAGTATAGGCGAACGAGATCCTCAAAGGCAACCGAGTGAAAAATAGTATTTCAATAAACACGATCGGTGTGATCATCGAGAAAATTGACCGATTCCGGGAAATTCTCTCAGGAAAATGTCATGCGATATCTCTTTTTTCTATCCAAGCAGCGTACCAAGATTTAATATTTATGGCTGAAATGTGAGACGAAGCGGATGATTTAAAGTGTCCGATGTGAGAATCGTTCGTCGCAGATTTTCGGACCCAACGACAGCGATGTCCTTCTTTACGTTTTACGTGCCACTTGTTTCCCTCGCGAGCAGAGAAAATACTGAAATGTACCCTTAAGGTGGGCGAACGTGCTCCGCGATTTATTCTTCCCCTTCGCAAGTGAGTTTGGATGAAATATTTTTTATTTGTTTACTCACGGAGATTTTCTTCTTTTGATGTCGTTGTTGCCTTCGAATTGTCGGAATACAAAATTATCAGACGGCGCTAGTTACGGATTTATTTTTTAATGTTCGAGAAGGACAGAGAGGCATATTGTTCACTTGATGCGAGGTGAAATACCCCAGCCATATAATCTACACAAGATGCGCTGTCGACTCATTATATATATAATCCACAGGCTGAAACCGAAACGCGATTACTTTACGGATATTTCATCAATGGACGGTGGTTCGTGACCTGGACGGAATTTTGATATTCCTACTACATATATTTAATATCCAAATTTCCAGACGAAGTTCTTCATGGAAAAAATATAAATATAATGAACCCGGTGATTATTAGCTATACATTGTTACCATTAGAACAACGCGCCCGTCAAAAAAAATATAATATACTAGCTGACCCGGCAAACGTTGTTTTGCCACATAAATAATTTTACTAAAATGGCTATAAAAAAATATGGGTTTGTGATAAAAAAGTGAAAATTAGGTTTATATGTATTTTTAATGTCACATTACAAAAAAAATAAAAAAAAGAATTTCGTCAAAAAAATAAAAATAAAAATTTTAAGGGTGAACAACCCTTATCACTTAGAGGGATGAAAAATAGATGTTGTCCTATTCTCAGACCTACTGAATACACATATGAAATTTGGTGAAAATCGGTTAAGCCGTTTCGGAGGAGTGCGATAACTAACACTGTGACAGGAGAATTTTATATATTAGATTTAATAGACGCTTAGAAAAATTATCTATCTCTTGTTACTTTGAATATTGGTGATAAATGCGACGAACAGCTTAAAATATAATTATATTATAGTAAAAACTCTACAACCTCCCATGAATGAAAAAAACATCGTTAATCACTCAGCGTGGAAACGCTTAAGTCGTAAGTGAAAAATGTGAAACTCTGAACTGTACGACTTCAGCCACAATCGAGATAGTTGGTCCCTTTTGTGTAACTCGACAATGATCAACTAATAGACATTAGCTTCGTTTGTTACGCTCGCGAATCGATAAAGGGAAAGCCGAGAAAATGTTCCTACCGAATCTCGCTATCCTAACAACTTTGTTACATTAAGTCATTTGTAAAAAGTTTCAGCGTCCCCTTCTTGCGATCTTAAATACTTAAGCAGAGTAAATGATCCGTACCATACTTTGTCAGTTAATTTTCAGTACTAGACGGCACAGTTTAAAACTTTACATCAATATTGTTAAGTTGGGAGTTGGCGGATTCTTTACATTGTTTTAAATGATTACTTTACAGTTGGTAGATGTTGAGATTAATTCATTGTATCTCGTGCATTGAAGCTATGAAACAACACATTCGTAGATATTATTTATTCTGTACTGACAAACAAAAAAGGTAACATTTCTGTTAGTCTCACTAAATTAAAAATTACTTTTAAATAAAATACGGTTTAAAACGCGATATATATTAGTTAAACTTTGCAGCAGCCATGGTCACGAAGAGATATCGAAAGTCGGGACGTAGTTTAAATCTTTTATTATTTGTTATATCTTTGATTAAATACTGTCTATAGCTTAAGCGAGCAACGCACCCGAAACGTCGGGCCGAAGTTAAAAATCATTTTCAAATAAGTTTAACTAATATATCGCGTTTTAAACCGTTAAATTGTTCCATTTAATTTTTCATTATGTTTGATTACAAAGAAAACTAGCTTACTTTCTTTACTAAAAGCATCAGTTTAGAATTTTGTTATTTTAAGATATTATAGATTACGTGCGTAGAAATGTATAGACAAACGCAAATGGGAATAACACGAATTAGTAAAGACCATGACCCATCGACTGTCCAAAACTCATGCACGCTACGGTCTTCAATAGAAAGTGAAGTGTCATACAAAGCTACATTATATTGGCGGGCTCGGGCCACCGTAATCAAAAGGCCCTCCAGGGAACAATGGCGCCCACATCGGGTCCCGACCGATAAGCCTTTGCAATTATACTACATCGACTTTTCAATTATCCAACCGACTCTTCCCCGAACAATACTAGGTTTATTTATGTATATTAGAGCGGTCATTTTGTACGCCGTTTAGACGCGCATTCTCTCCGACATAATTCACCATTAAACAATGTACGGGAACGGGACATTTATATTCCGGCGAGAATTAATATTTTTAATTTTGAGTAATAAAGGCGAATTAACTTTTTTATGGACGGCCAAGCGGACCCACGGCTGTCGTGGCTAACGGTGGTTGCACGGGTTTTAAAATGCTGTAATTAATATTTTGAGAGACGTGGTAGACTAGTGGTAAGGTTGACTTTCATACGTAAGGTAGCAAGTTCGATACATTATATCTAATAGTATTGTAGATACATAGTAGAGCAACAATCAATAAATAACTTAATTATCTCTTTTTAATGAGAGAAGGACAAGCTTAGGGTTCGATTAATGGAAGGTGTAACACCAAAACCTAAACATCTAAAATAGACGCGCTGTCAATCTGTTTTTTGCTTTTATATTCTGAAATTCACAGACTAACTTCACGCCTCATTATCTATTCTATTCTACCACCTATTCAATATCCAGATTTCCAGACGAAGTCCAATATGTTTCAGAAAAATTACAAATTGATAAGATACATGTTGGACCCGATGGGGTATCAAACCGAGACCCGTTGACCCGCCTTACGTTGCTACCATTACACCGACGAGACCGTCACAATAAATGTCCATGAATTCCTTCTTTCAACTGTAAATATTTTGTGTTCGATATATCGTACCGTGTTTTAATTACTTAATGTTTTACAATGATTATCTTGTTTGCAGGTGAAACTGGAACAAAATGTTGGAAAGCCGTCCCGAGTGATACATATACGGAATATACCAAATGAAACAACAGAAGCCGAGATCATACAGTTGGGCTTGCCCTTCGGCCGAGTCACTAACGTCCTTGTACTCAAAGGCAAAAATCAGGTAAGATATATTGCCAACTTTACTAATTACTTATAAGAAATAGGTTATAAAGACACGTTTGCCCTGAAAGCCCAAAAAAATGTATTGCGTGCCTTTTAAGACAAGACGGAAACCATTGTTTAAACTGGAGATAGATTCAGTTTAAACAATACTAATGAGGCAAATTTGTTTATTGACGTCCTTACAAAGGATACGTTTTAATACTAAAAAAATATAGCAATTCGTATTCTAAAATTCTTTTCTTTTACACGGTTCCTGTTTCTGTAATGTTATTTACTGTCAAATTTAAACAGGGTTTAACTTTTAAATGCATCTGCTGCAAAGCATCCGAAACGTCGGGCCGAAGTTAAAAATCATTCTCAAATAAGTTTAACTAATATATCGCGTTTTAAACCGTTAAAGTGTTTTATTTAAATGTGTACTACTCGCGTAAACTATAGACAGGGTTTAACTTTTTAAATAAAGCACTTTAATGGTTCACGTGAATCACAACATTATTTTAACTACGGCTACTACTACAAAGCATTCGAACCGTTTTAAACCGTTTAACTGTTTTATTTAAATGTGAACTACTCGCGTAAAGACAGTTTACTTATTTGTTTAATTATTTTGCGAACACCACTTTGTGTAAAAAAATTGTTAAGTTTACGATGTATTAATCGATCTCCTGATGATTCCGTCTGCTTGTGATAGAGAAACATCGAGGACCTCTTCTCGCTCACGTCGGGCGAACAACTCGAAAAACAATGATATGCTGAACGGTGGCCGTGAAAGCCTTACACAATTTATTAAGTTTACCATTTGTCAAAACAACGTCATTTATTTTTGAGCGACTAATTGCATTATAAGTGTATCGAAATTTGAATATATACTATCTGATAGTATTTCCTTAGAGGTCTTATTCCTTAATAGAGCGACATGTCAATTACATAATCAGCTAAAGGAAATACTGCATCTCAGTCTAGATACAGAGAAATATTTGCAACTAAACCTCACGTTGCCTGGAGGCATGTACGCTTTGAGATGCAGAATAAGTTAACTCGGTAAATGCTATCATTTGCGAATAACAACGTCTCGATAATAGTGTCTAATGCTACATGAGATGTTTACGTACCTCGTTAAATTTAATAACATTACCTAAATTAATGAGATATTTTTATGACTTTATTAACGTCCTTTTGTTAATTATTTAGACTAAATTTAATTGCCATAAAACGGTTTTTGTTAGTTTATATCAAAAGATAGACAGATATACTGTCGTGGACTTTTTTAGATGGCTTAAAGAAGAATACTGTCTTAGTTTACGCGAGTAGTATACATTTAAATAAAACACTTTAACGGTTTAAAACGTGATATTATTTAGTTAAACTTTTTTGAGATTTTTTTTTAACTACGGCCCGACGTTCTACAGCCGACAATTTCCCCGTGACCACGGCTGCTGCAAAGCATCTGTCACGTAATTAAAGTGTTTTATTTAAATGACTTAAAGAAGAATTATTTTTTTATATCCCTTTTTTACATTTTCCATTACTTCTTGGTTTTTATTAAATATATAATTTTTTATCTATTCATATACTTTAATTATTGGACATACAAATAGTTCCCAGTCCTGGGATTTAGACGCACTGTGATGTTTTATACTTTATTAATGTTTTGACATACTAACATTATCATAGGTCGACAGCATATCTTAATAAGTTATAGATAGAGCTATTTTTCCTAATGTCTATTAAAAAAAGCATAGAACTGAAGCAGCTAGCTGCAAAGCTGCAATCTAAAAAGTTATATAAATGAGTTGCGGTTATCTTAACTGCATGGACTGTAATATTTTCTGAAGTTCCATGGATAATCAGTACGAAGCAACTAGTTAGCAGTTTCAAAGTAACCGTATCGGATAGAAAACCAATACAGTTATTTACCGTAATAGTAGACGTTTTGTATCTACCTTGCTGTTATCTTACAATAAGGAAATTTACACTTTAACGTAACATAAGATAATTACGCAGTATTTAAATATAACTACGACTAACAAAAATAATAAACTTAAGAAAAATTGTTAGTTACATATATATATTTTTTAATTTAAATATGTATTAGTTTTAAGATAGCGTGAAAGGATCAGTTACCGTGGCTTTTGGCACAGACGGAACGCTATGGTTTTGGGCTCGAGTCCCGACCGTGTCAGATTTTTAAATACAAAAAGAAGATTAGCACAACTATGAACTGAGATGCGAAAAATAATACGAGTAATATTCATCACTATACAGTTTAAAAAAAAATCTTAAATCTTTAAAACCACGCGACAGAAATTGATGCGGTTTTTTAATTGATAGAGTATTCTATTTAGTATTAGCATTGCATCCGAGCGAAGCCGGGGCGGGTCGCTAGTATAATATTAGGTTGTGTGATAATGGAAAAACGAACAAAACCTTTATCGAAAATAACTATTTACTACACTTAACTATAAAGACGAACGATACAGTACTATGTAATACTACGTCAACCCTTACATAATAGTCGGTCGTGTAACAACACAATGAAGCTTGGCCGGAAAAACAACAAGTGGGTGACGCACAGTCTACAAATAGGCCATTCGCATTGTGGGAGACCTACTTGGTTTTACGCTTGTCTTAACGGAAGTAACTTTGACAGACTGGTAATAGTTATAACGACGTGTAACAATGGTGTGAATTTCTCTTTGGTTTTTGCTTAGTAGTGGATGTCAAGCTTGATGTTTGACGGGCCCGTTGGCGTAATGGTAGTACGGCTAAAACGGGTCGCGGGTTCGATTCCTATCGGGTTCACAATTTATTAATCAATTTTTTTTTTTAATATATTTGGCTTCAATTTGGCCTTCGTCTGGTAATCTGGATATTAAATTGGTGGTAGGAATTTCGATTTTTTTTTTTTAATTTCGGTCTGTAGATTTCCGAATATCCAAAAGGTATTTCCGAATAACCGAAAATCCAGCAGCAGCAGCAGCAGGCAGCGCGTTTTGTTTAGATTAAATGGCTTTTTTAAACGTTTTTAAAAGGTGTAAGTGTTTTATTTAAACATTAATATTAAGCTAAATAAACAAGCAATTTTATATATTTTAATAATGTAAAGCTTCCTGATTAGCAGCAATTGCCCGCTACGCAATATAAACTTTTTCATCTTCCAAATGGCTAAGTAAGCGAAAACTCGGGGAAAGTTTGTGAAAATTTAACTCCATATTAGCAGACATTAGGTGAGTTTGTTTAGCTGAAGCGGCGATCTTTATAATTGAATGAAGTGCAATTCAGAAAGGCACCATTTAACAAAATACTCTTCATCGATCATCTTGTATTACACAAATTACGCAACAATAATCGCTTTATCTTATTTGTTGTACATTACTCGAGCGAAAATATTTACACGACATATTTGCAACGGTTTAAAACGAAAAAGATTATAAATTAACTTATTTTACAGCTGCAAAGCATTTGAAACGTCGAGTTGTAGTTTAAATATTTTATCTAATAATATGTCGCATTTTAAACTGTTAAATGTATTTTATTTAGAATTTTATATCGTGAAAAATCTTGTCATCTTTCTTCGCGCAAGTCCTTATCTACTAATCTAAGCTTACGTTTTAATTGAATATCCGCCGTACAATTTTTTGAATTTAGAACACAAAATTAGTAATTTAAATTCGTCAAATTAAAAACCTGTTAAGTATTTACGTAAAACAAAATCTTATTACGTGCAAAACAGCAAGACAGATGGCATGACAATGTTATCCCGTTTAATAAATAGCTCGTATGACACTCGCATAAATTGTCCCGGGAAGAAAACAATCTCAACAGCACGGAATATAAGTCGAATCCCCTTTTATGAACGCTCGCCTCTCGCTTTTTGTTGTGTAATTTTCCCAACCTCCCACTCCTACGTTGGAGGTGCAACTTTTAAAAATCTCGAGTCAACGGATTTGCTGGGATTTAAATTTTAACGTCTTCGCCGGAAAGTGATTTTTATTCTCCGCTTTCATCAAATCGCTACACTCGATTCAGACAATTTTCTCCCGGGACGTTACTTTTACATTTACAATGACTATAATTTGTGATACAATATAATAAGTAGAATATTTTTGAAAAATTTAATATTTTTACGTGTTATTGGAAGTCCTGCCCGTGTCGTTCGATTTCGTTGCTCCGGACAGACGAAGTAGTTGATCAGACTTCTGTGCCCTGCTCGACCGAAACTATCTATTGTTTCCTCGAGATTTGAACCCCGTACTTCCCTCGCTTACCGCATCTATGCCTTTGATCGGTGTCTCTCAAAAAAAGTATAGGACACAATGTTTCACACTATACATGTAATATTCTAGTTCTTTATACTTCAAGTCTTTTAATAACTAACGTTCAAAAGTGTAGCTTGTTAAATAAAGTGATTTTTAATCCGATATGATCTACGCAAGCGGTCTCTTCGATTTGATAGAATGAAAAGTATCAATGTTAATAGTAATTGAGCGTCGAGTTAAAAAGCCATCCATCGAGAGATGGGCAAACAGTGACGGGAGTGCGGACAATCGCCTCCACTCTCAGTGATTAAAACGAAGAGCCGTTGACACCGTTCCACGAGCGGCCACTGTGCGTTCGTTAATTTGTGTGCTATCATTTAGCTGGAAAGTGGAAACTGTGTACGAATTAACGGTATAACATTGAAGGCCTGTTACCTAAATAATTATAGATTTATAGTACAAAGTTTAAAAAACATAGTAAAATGTTACTCGGATGCTACTTATTGTAATTTATATAACAACCAAGTAAAGTCTCACTATTTTTTTTACATTACATTCTTCTGAAAACAACTAATGTTAACGGTCAAACGCGGCGTTATGCTGTTGCACGTTGGTGGTAGTAAATTGTAAGTTAAATAAAATACAATACTGTTAAATACTGTCTATAGTTTACGCGAGTAGTACACATTAAAAAAAAACTTTTTAACGGTTTAAAACGTTTTATTTAAATACAATATTGTTATTATATTATTAATTAGAAAATGCAAATAATAGAAATTGTTACTAAAGTTGATTATTCAAATCTTTCATGTGAGTATTGTCTGTAGTTTGAGCGAGTAGTACACATTTAAATAAAACACTTTAACGGTTCAAAACGCGATATTATAAAGCATCCGAAACGTTGGGCCGTAGTGAAAATAATTTTCAAATAAGTTTAACTAATGTACATCGCGTTTTAAACCGTTACAGTATTTTCTTTAATTTAAAAATCGAAAATAAATTGAAAAAAATTTCGACTCGGGCAGGACTTGAACCCGTATCGTCAGCGTTCCGTGCTGTTCAAAAAATCCGAGTCGAAATTTTTAATTTTTAAATTATATAGTGCCTTCATGTGCAATAACATGCAAAAAATAATAAAGTACAAAATATTTTATTTAAATTATTTGCGTGTAATAAATTATGTCTCGTACTGCGAAAGCCACGAAAAATAAAACGCCTTCAAGCGGCGAGTGCTAAAATGTGTCGGTCGCTTCCCGCCGCCATATATTTAGTTTTTAATTAGCAACAGACAAATTCTATTTAATTTGCGGCCGACTGCACGGTCTGTTACTGGTGTATTTACCAGCTATGTTCAAATGCCAAAAGCAGAACCCTGCGGTTTTAAGCCGCGCTCCCGGGAAATGGGTGCTGGTAAATTCTCTCTATGAAATCCAGGAAATCATAACACATTTAGGGAATCACGGTAGTGCGGATCAGTCTTGTTTGCTCGCCGAGTTTATGTATGGTCGACCTCGCTGGAGCCGATTAATTGCAGCCCACGGTGATACAAAACCTCGTTAACGCAACATTGTTACACAATATCTGTTGGAATCTAAGGCTCACGAAAAGTTCAAAGATATTTGTGGAGTTATTTAAACTTTGATAAATGGGTGGTAGGGATATCGAAATTTCGTGCGGGTCACGAACCATTGTCCACAGATGAAAAGGAAAAAATAAGTCGACCGCGCATCTTGTTTAGATGTTATATGGCTTGAGGTATTACACCTTCCATTAAGTAAAAACCATGCTTGTCTGTTCTCTCCATTATTAAAAAAATGATGTAAGAACTTTTAAGATACTACATACGATTGAAATAAAACACTTTTAACGGTTTAAAACACAAAATATATTAAATACTGTCTACAGTTTACGCGAGTAGTACACATTTAAATAAAACACTTTAACGGTTTAAAACGCGATATATTAATTAAACTTATTTGAAAATGATTTTTATGATGACGACTTTATGATTCCAGATATACGTGAAGGTTACATAAGCTCAACAGGCCTGAATTTTTGGGCCGAAGTTAAAAATCATTTTCAAATAAGTTTAATATATCGCGTTTTAAACCATTAAAGTGTTTTATTTAAACAAAATATATTATTTGACTTACGGCTCAATGTTTGATTTACTTTGAAGTAGTCGAGGTCACTTGCTAGATAATTTAATCGTCCTTTTTATAAGTTAAATATGAGAGTCCAAGATGTATAAATTGACGTGGCGGGACTCGAACCCACTACGACTGTAACATATTGCCGCGTGGGTCATAAAAATATTTTCAATGTAAATTAAAAAAAACTAATAAGTACGAATTAAAGATTTATTAATTTAAATGTCACTTAAATGGAAAACTACTGTCCACTACAAATATTTACTTTAAAAAATATCAAAGTAAAATGAAAAATGCCGCCATTTTGCACCACCGTGTTCAGATTAATAAAATTTATGCAAAGCATTTCATCATAAATATTTTCCAATAAGTATATGCATTTTAAATCACATTACCATAATGCATCGATATAGTGAATTAGATTACATCTTCGAATAAAATATACGAAAGCGACAAACTCTGCTCTAGACCCGACGCGTCATCTTTCATCGCCATATTATTACTCCCGACTCCGGTATATTCGATTAGATTAGGTGATAGTTGTCGTTGTACCTCCAGCTTCTCAATTTATGTTCCCTCATTCCATTGTACTCACCATTATTTATATACGATCTTCAAATAGCATATATGATACACCTAGCAAATTTTACCACAAGCCAGCTAAATGCTAAAATTGGCCGCATTCGTGTTCGATTATCTGAAAAAAATCGTGTTCTCTATGTGCTCGTATCCAAAAATCGATTTTTTAATTTATTTAATACCATCGTATGCTAATGCATCGTATGCTGCTCATATACTTGCTGACAAATAAAATTGATCAGTGAAATTTATTGCAGAGTATTGCGTAGGTAGTGGGTTCGAATACCGGTAAAATAATTGTTTCGGTCTGACAGGGCACACAGTTCGGCCCGACAGTGCAAAAATGTTTTTTTTAACTTTCCTTTTATGTTTTTCTAAGTCTTGTATTATTTTTCAGGCATTCTTAGAGATGGCAGAGGAGATATCTGCGGTTGCCATGGTGGCATACTTCGGTGGTTGCGTAGCACAGCTGCGCGGGCGCGCCGTTTATGTACAGTTCTCAAATCACAAAGAGCTCAAAACCGACCAGACACATAGCAACGCAGTAAGTGTATAATTTTGTGTAGATAGTGCTTTCGCGGCCATTTGCAAAACTTTGGTTTTCCAACTCTTTGACTGTCGTAATTGTAATGTATGTTAGTTTAAATGAAACAATTTTAACGGTTTAAAACGTGTAATTTATTATTTAACTTATTAACACTTAGGCCAGACTTTTCTAAATAAGTTAATTAAGCCATTTCGAGTTTTAAAACGTCAAGTGTTTTATTTAAATTTCATCTTTGTTTGATTGAATACCCACAACTCATTTATATAGTTCAGTTACTATGTCAAAGCCCAGTACAAAATTGCCAACGTTTAATATTTAATATCTACAAATATTGCCGTTTCGAAATCAAGACCCAGTTTGGATTATGATAATAACGCAACGAGGGTTCAATTAGACTCATTACCAACGGATTATGATGCGGTGTGCGGGGCAAATCCTCCAATATGAATATAAACTACAGCAAAGCAAGCTGTTAATATCTTTGATCGGATCTGGTCTCCAATAAACGCTGTACTCTGTTTACAGCGTCACGTTTAAGAAAAAATATACTTGTACTTCCAGTTACACGTTAAAACAATGATCTGTTTAAAATACGACATTCGAAGTTTAAATAAATTTCAAATACGCTACATTTCGAGTGGTTTACAATAGCCATGGACATGGGGGGACGCAATACACTCAGTTAAGTTTTTCGCTTTTTAAATGTCCATAAAAAGGGTTTTCTGTTTGTACTATTGTTATTGCCTATAATTTACGCTAGTGGTACCAATAATTTAAATAAAACACTTAAGTAGAAGAAATGACGGCTGCAAAGCAACCAAAACGTCGGGCCGTAGTTAAAATATATTTTAAATAAGTTAAGTAGATACATTTCGTGTTTTAAACCGTTAAAAGTTTTATTCAAATAAGCACTGTCTCCTAATGGTGATGTAGCAGTATAGTTACTTTGAATTGCCGTCTTCCGCATATGAGATCTAGCCAGACTTATAGAATAGAATAGTAAGAATATTGACGCAGCGTAACGCAGTACGCTTACTGTGTTAATATGAGACCAAAGCCTTAGATAATAGTAGTCAATATTCCCGCATTCTACGCTGAGATTCGTACGTCCGAGCCGCGTTGATGCACTGGTTTGATTGAGTTAGTGAACTACGATTGATGTATGTATGTATGGTTACGGTGCCGAATGGCGAGAGTGAATGCATTGTGTTGGAATGTTTCAATGTGCATTTTAAGGAAACAATAAAAGTACGATACGTGTGGAGGCGGAAATTGGATAACTCTCGCTAGGGAATATGAAAATGGCCAATCCATTCATAATAAATACGAAAGTTCTGTTACGAAAGTTTGTATATATCTAGACATACTCTAAGCAACTACAGTCTACAAGTTTACATAAAACACTTTAACGGTTTAGCAACCGTGGTCGCGGGGAGACCGTGGAATGGCTGCTGCAAAGCACCCGAATGTCGGGCCGTAGTTAAAATTAATTTAAATAGGTTTAACTAATATATTTCGCGTTTTAAACTGTTAAAGTGATTGGGCTCGCGTAGGCCACAGCTGAGGACAAGAATACAAAATTTTAACAGATTGGTTCTTTTAAATATCAGCTGTAGTTTCACAATATTTATGTAAATGTAATTTAAAAATCGAAAATAAATTGAAAAAAATTTAGACTCGCGCAGGACTTGAACCGGCATCGTCAGCGTTCCGTGCTGTTGCTCTACCGATTGAGTTATCGTCGATTTTTTTCAACTTATTGATACAAAAACAAAAATAATGTGCAAAAAAATCTTATTGTAAAAACAACTAATCTCGCGTAATGTAAACATAGTCAAAACTTGAAATACACGTCATGACCATTGCAGGTAAGAAACAAATATTTATCGCGTTTTAAACCCTTAAAAGTGCTTACCCGTGTACCATAAAAGTTACTCTCTAAAGTACACATTTAGCAGGACGTAAATAAAGATAAAAATGTTTATTAAAAGTACAATTAATAAAGTTCTCATTTATTTCCGTCCCCCATAATTCTTTCCATTCAAAACGGAGTTGCACAAATCATAATTAGTACGTCCCCGGGGACGATTAAGTTACGCTAAACATATTTTTCACTTTCGGTCTTTTTGGCGTCTTAACCCAGCAGTGCAAAATTAACGTCGCCATTCAACGTCTTCAGTACTAAAAAATATACTTAACCCTAAAAATTAAACATAGAAAAAAAGAAATAAAAAAAAAATGTGACTTCGACAGGCTTGAACCGGCATCGTCAGCGTTCCGTGCTGTTGCTCTAATTTATTTTCCATTTACACAGTGCCATGATGCGCAATAACATGTGAAGAGTCCCCCCCCCCCTTTCTAACGTAGAGGTAATTAATTTTATTCTGGCCCGCCGAAGTTATAATTGGATGAAGTTAAAGGCATAATAAAAGTAAACTAATAACGACTTCCGATAGATAATGATAACGCGAAATCTTGGTATCTCCCCCAAGGCCCTGCCGCAGAGGGGAATCAATAATTCCCGTAACACAGCACCCCAATGGCTGGATTAATTAAAACGCTTAATTAGTTTCGTTTATCCGCGTAACCTATCAAACATACCCTAAAATCAGTTTTCGCTTTCGCGGTATAAACTACTATATAATATTCTAATTATTATTGAAAAACAATTTATACGAGTTCTGTCTATAGTACGCGAGTAGTACAGACAAACGTGATAAATATTAGTTAAGCTGATTTGAAGATTATTTTAACTACAGCCCGAAGTTTCGGATACTTTGCAGCAACCGTGGTCACGGGGAGGCTAAAGATGGTGGGTGTCTCTGACGTCGAAGTAAAAAACACTGCTACGCTAGCGCCATCTGTTTCGTCGAAGTTGGTATTTTGCTAAACTATTTCTGTATACATTTAAATTAAGCACTCAATGGTTTAAAACGCGAGACGTATTAGTTAATTTATTTACAATTTATGTAATTTTATTTAACTATGTATTTCCCCGTGACCACGGCTGCTGCAAGACACCCAAAACCGGCGATAATTAAAATAAATTGTAAATAAGTTAACTAATACATTTCGCGTTTTAAACCGTTTAAAGTATAAAAAATAGCATCAAAACGCCTTGAGTTGCAAATTAAAATAAATAATATAGTATATTTAATTAAAGCGAATCGTAAACACTTTGTTAAAACACTAACTGCTGCATAAAACGAGTAATATTTAGTCAACCTTTTTCGTTTCTAAATGTACGTTAAAAACATGCTGGTATGTTCGCGCTTACTACTCATTACATAATTAGGTTTTAGAAAATATTAGTCCTTGTTGTGAGGTATACATAAAATTTATGAAATACCCTTTTTTCATTCAGTCATTCTTTTAGATAACATATTGATGTACATTCGTAAGCTTAAGTGAACACATTGAGTGAACGTCAATAAGCAGCTTTTAGACTTCAATAAACAATACATTTGTAACATGTTCGCTTCTTGTACATTTCTCATATGGAAGTATATAAATGATCTAAAATGTTATCTGTATTGTGGCGAACTAAGTTTTAAACGTTTCCTTACAATTACTTTATGAATGATTATTTTAGCTTCTTATAATAAGCGTTAGTTTTTATTTAAAAGCTCACTCTTTACCCGACGACGAAGTTCAAAAGATAATTATGATTTACGAATTTATGTTCCGCGTTTAAAAAACTTTAGTTATTTTTAAAGGCGTCAAACGGAGAGTTAATTGTAGAAGTTGTTAAATGTATGGATCTTATTTAAACAAAACGCGTTTTAAACCGTTAAAGTGGTTTATTTAAATGTTCACTTGTCGCGTAAACTACAGACAGTATTTATGGATCTTGCTTTATTTTATTTAAGCATGTGGTTAATCGGAGTTCTGTGTCGTACGCGTATCGGACACAACGCGGTAACATAAGCTAGATCAATTTATACAAATGAAAAAGTCCTTAAACTTCTGCTACTCCAATTATTAAGAAGTTGAAAATCTTTACTTTATTCCGTTATGTAGAATAAAAAGCAAATTCACTAATAATCATCATCATCACTTATCATCATCAATCATCACCACTTATCATCATCATTAAAATGTTATATGTGTTTTGTAATATAAACGCCATGAATTGTCCCATTTGTCCTTTTGAAAAGACCACTTAATAAAATGAAATCATCGGTCTATTAGCGTCAAACATGTTTATCACCTAATAATATAATGTTTGATCTAATTGTCGGTATTGCAAACAACGTCAGGGTAAACAGAATTGCTAATTAATGTGATGATTAAACTCAAAACGGATACAGCTAGGTCTCTATTGTCTATTTGCGACTATCTGCGTATTTGAGGAGATCAGCTTAAGGTATTATTTAGTGATAGCATGATCCCAGTACACAATATTGGTAATGTGAGTTATAGTTTAGTGTTTTGGGAAGTAAATTATGATGCTTTGTAATGTATACTAATGTTATAAAGCTGAAGAATTTGTTTGATTAAAAACTCGGGCACTACTGGTTCGATTTGAAAAATTATTGTTGTGTTGTTTGCACCATTTATCGATGAAGGTTATCAATACAGACAATACCTGTTATTGCAATGTCCTATTGCTCTCCCCCATAAGAGTGTTTACGCTCTAAGATACTAGAGCTGGCTTACAATGTTGCTTAAGAGGGCATTGGCGGAATTTAACCGACTACCGCCACTAAATAATTTGTGACGAGTACTATAAATTTTTAATATTTAATATCGAAAAACCAAAGATACATTTTGCCTGAACCGTTAGTCGATTCCGGGACCTCTTGATCAACGGTCGCTAACCACTGCGCACTGTTTGGTTTGTACGATTGACATTAAAAATAATATAAGGGAGAAATATGAAAACAGCCGGCATCTTTGACAGCTACTTTGACAGGATTCTGTCACTCATTTCCTTCTCCCCAAGTCGCGACACCTCCTAATGATATGGCTGAAATATTTATATGTTTGTTATACGCAATAAATATCTTCAAGAAATCAGTAACGAAACGTTACGAGAACAATTTATTTTATTAATAATAATTATTGTTTATGAAAATAATGGTTTGGTAGATTGATGGAGTATGAAATACCACTATAAACCTGTACAAAATAGGTGGGAGTATATTTGTAAGATGTGCTGTTTTGATTTTGGCTTTCAATATTCGGAAATTCACTGACTTAAAAAGACAACTTCACGACTATTTATGGACCGTGGTTTTGCTAGTGGAATCGTGGTTGGAATTGCCATATTAACATTTTCAAGACAAGACCAATATTCCCCACCCACGACTCGTTACCATTGTAACTGTTGGTTTCACAAGAAATAATAATCTATAAGCCCTATCATTAATTAAATTAATTTGCATTCAGCGATAACATTAATTATATAAAATGTTCAATAAATCATTAATGTAAAATTTGTGGTGCATTTCAAAAAGTTTCACCATGAAAAATGTTTACTTAAAATGAAATTCACATCAGTTTCAATAAGCACTGATGCATTTTTAGTGTAGTGAATGTAAGGCTTTGATCAATCATGCGATGCAAAAGGTTTTTGTGGTCGCTGAATAGAACTCTCCAATGGCGGAAAGTTATTTTGTCGCTAACGGTGCCTCCGTCTGGCTGTGGTGGACTTGAAAGATTGCGTCCTCCGAATAAGTTCTCTTATAACCCCGAGTTTGGCACTACTTACAACGAACGCCGCTATTCGGGAGACATTTTAAAGAAATCGCTCTGGCGATTATTTTTACCTTTTCCTGATTTATTTGAGCTAGAGCTGAGCATTTTATTTAAAGTGTATTTTCTAAGGCGCTTATAACGTTCAATACACAAACTAAACTGAAAAGATTCTCATATTATGTAATGATGTTTTTAAATTATTTAATTGCATACATATTTTATTACAAAAAAATATTTAAAATTTATGATACCGGTGGAATTCAAATGATGATTGTAATAAATGATTATTACATGGTATTTAACCCACAACCGACAAATGCTGTTGCTATATCAATTCAGTAATAGATAGTCTAAATAAAACACTTTAACGGTTTAAAACGTTATATATTAGTTAAACATCATTTCAATAGTTAAAAATCATTTTCAAATAAGGTTTTACGTTAAGGTGTTTTATTTAAATGTGTACTACTCGCGTAAACTATAGACAGTATTTAACAGATAGTCTGTGAGATAAAGTTTATTAAAATACCGTCCGCATAGGTTATGCTTCGAAATACTTTTTCAACTTTTAACATTTTTTTTAACATTCTTATTAAACAGTAGTGTTAAAATGTTAAAGTTTGGAAATCTGGATATAAAATGGTTTGAAATATCGTAATTCCGTCTGAGCCGTGAAATTTAATCGCGTTTCGGTTTCAGTCTGTATTTGGATAGACTGAAAGCCAAAATAAGTCGACAGCATATCATGTTTAAATGTTATATGGCTGCGTTATTTCGCCTAGTTTCAACAAGCCGCCAAGTTTAATTACGTTTCGGTTTATGTCCATATAAATAGAAACATATCCAAAGCCAATAAAGATCGGCAGCCCATCTTGCTTAGATAAGATAATATAATAATATGGGGGGTACTTCCTACCATCAAGTTCTTTTTGGGTCGTCTACTATCATACAAATAGTAATTTCATAAAAGACAAGCGCACTTTCTAAATGTTAAAGGAATAAAGGTAAATCGAGTCGATGCGAATTTGTATCGAAGCCTTTGCCGTCCGCGGCAGGCTTACTATGACATGGCTAAAGCCTTATTTTTGTCTGGCCTGCGCGCTTGTCAGCCCGTCGTCCGCCACAAAGCCATGTGAAAATGTAGGATCAAAGTGTGCCCACCTGGTGACTGGTCGACGTGTGTTTCCCTCGTCTTTTTGCATTCGGCGTGTTTACGTTTCAGCACTTTAAAAGTCACTCGCTTCCAAGCCTCTGCTATTGAGTTCCGCTTTTGTTCTCGATTGAGTTAATACTTTTGACACAAAATTTACTAATTCTTACACCTCCGTCACTGTTTTAAAGCAACAGTGTTTCATTAAATGTTTACTACAGGTGTCTACAGATCAAACAGATTAATTTAAAAAGATTTGTTTTCTCTGTAATTAAAGCCTAATATTATACAACCGAGCTAATCTAATTTATAGATAAAACACAATTCTGAAAAGGATATCAATCCACCATAATTTTCTTATATTCAAAACTCGACGATTCTGACGTGAAAAATTTGTTCTTAACGATAAGGATAATGAATTAGGCAGCAGGGAATTTTCGCCATCGCCAAAGTTTTTCGCGTTTATTCTCTTTCGCGATTATTATTATCGTTCTAGATCCGAAGTGAGGTCGTCAGCAGTAAAAAAAAAATTAGTAAACTTATTTCATGCAATAGAGTAAGGATTTTGCGCATAGCGTTACACACCGGGATTCGAAGGAACAATAGTTTCGGTCGGGCAGAGCACAACAATATCATCAACTATTATTTTGATAGCCTTTGAAAATTTTAATATATTGTTATTGTGCATTATGTTCATTAAAAATCGATTTTAGATTAAAAAGAATTCACCAGAGGTGTTTTATTAAAATCCACCTTTGTTTCAATCGGTTGAAAAAACTCGACGATGTCGTGTAGGACACGTTAGCTGAATTGGTTAGAGCAACAGCACGGAACACTGTGAATGTCGGTTCACGTCCTGCCCGTGTCGTACATTTTTCGTAATCGATTTCAAATTTTTTAACTATTTGCCTGTAAATAAAAAAGATCAGTTAAATGGACAATGTTCACCCCATGCCCCACAGGGGGGAAACGGGATTTACTTTGTTAGCTACCGTCAATGTTATCTATGGGACAAGGTGTGTATGAGAGCCCAGTTCTTATTTCCCTCTATTGTTGTAAGACTTACGATAGATTAGTTGGCACATTTACTTCTTACGTGACTGTAAGGGCTCTATACGTCTACTAGATTCTTCTTACGTCGTGATTTTTTGTTCATATTGTATTTGAAAGTAAAATCCTATAGTTTTGATCCTGATTCACTGATCAATTTTACTATCTGTTCGAAGTGACTGCACCCACTGTTATTTTATTAAAAGTTTTTTGTTTTTTTTTTCAGCAATATTCAGATTTATCTTATGTGCCACATTCTGCAATTTATTTAACTTTTTTGTGCACTTTCAGATCTTTTTGACACTTTTAAAGAAGTGGTTCTTACATAATGTAACTTTACGGGTCATGTAAAATGAATAAAAAGACATCTTCGATTTCATCATCAACTTTATATGCTCTTCAATAGTTCATTCGATATCTTACACAACAGAAACTATCATTCTCCCAGGATTCAAACCCGGTGCTTATATACCTTAAACTTTTTCTACCAATTATACTGTCTACCACGTTTTTCCTTACAAACTACCTAATACATACAATATAATAATAGAATTAATTAAAAAATTTTATTGAAATTTACTTTAATAGATAATAAGTTTTTTATTAAGTAAAAATGTTATTTTTTTTTGTATTTCTTAATATGACTTATTTTTTTTAGTCGGCGTCTGCGCAGGCAGCTCTACAAGCAGCCCAGGCCATCTCAAACACAGCTGGAGCGGCTCTGGTCGCCGGTGCTGGAACAGCTCTTCAGCCAGCGAACGGTGGCACTGAAATACAGGTAAAATAAATTTATTATTTTCGTATTACCCGTTAAATTTGTTTCATTCATTGTATATTAGGTGCATAACTCTATAAGAGTACCTTTTACATAAGTATGTAATTTAACTAATTCAATTCCTAAAATACTTAAAAAAACGTTTTAAATTTCCTTTAGAATTCATCTGACGACATTACATACTGCTACGGTGCACGGATAATTTTTGCAAGTAAAAGAATTAAATTAATAAAACACTTAAACCGGCATTAACAGATATATAACAACACCTTTTGGTACACGTCATTGCGTTTGTTTAAAGCCATATGCGCCTCTAGCCCGTGTGGTCATTTGGTCAATTTCATTTGGCTTTTTATTTATATAATGTGAAAGGTTAAGTTTAAAATGTACTCTATGATGTTTTTTTTTGTTTTATTCTTGTATTATGTACGTATTGATTACCATCAAAAATTAATCCCCTCCTTTTACAAATATAAACCTACTAAATGTTTATACAACGTCTCTAGTAAATTATTGTAATAAAAATGTGATGCATTGAGCAAGCTTTCCCAAATGTTACCTACAGGTTACATAACATGAGACGGGGAAGTATTTAAATAATCCATTTATCGTTAGTGCTCAACCGTTAAAGTGTTTTACCACTTTTAATATTATAAGTTTGTATTGGGTAACTTAGTTATAATGTACTTTTAACTACGGTCCGACGTTTCGGATGTTTCCATATAACTAATACATTTCGCGTTTTAAACCATTAAATCATACACTTAAAAGTAAATACTTTAATTTACTTCTAAGAGTTCTTTAAAAGGAAAAACAAAACAATATCGAAGGTTGAGGAAAATGTCATTTGTTTACCACTTCCATTATCGTAAGAGTCTTACAATGACAATACAAAATGGTTATTTAATTTATTTTGATAAGTATTAATGTAATCTTGTTAATGGCTTTTCTGAGTTATTAAAGTTAGAACTTTATTATTTTTCAAATATCATTGTTCATGATAGCATTCAATAAATTAAGACGAATTATATTGATAAAGAAAAGACGACTACCTAACCAATACACAGTAGACACGATATCTTTTTTCTTAACCTCCTTTCAAGAAATCTCTAATCTGTATACAATATAAGACGAGACAACCTGACGTTACTACATCAGGTTGTAATTAAATATAAGTTAAGAAATAACTCGTTTTATACCGTTTATAGTGTTTTGCTTCTATGTATAAAATGTGTTTTTTTTTCAGGGTGGCCCCAACACAGTTCTCCGCGTGATTATAGAACACATGCTCTATCCAATTGTATTGGACGTCCTGTACTCCATCTTCCAACGATATGGAAAGGTGCTTAAGATCGTCACATTCACGAAAAACAGTAAGTAGTCCCGGTTTTATATATTTCTTTTAAATAATTTATTTCCTATTTCCCCATGTAGAGCGTTGGACGAACACATTTGTATGTCCGTATTACTTATTTATTTACCGGCAATTTATCGTTTAACCGGAATTCGAACCCAGGATCTGTCGTGTCTAACGTCCAAGACATTTTAATCATTGAGCCGCGAAAATCGGTTTTAAATAGGTACTACAAATAACTGTTAACTATTCATATAAAATTCTACGAACAAGAACACGCAAAGTTTTTCACTTAATTGCAGAAAAATAAAGTGTTTTATAGTTTCTCGAAAGATCTTTTAAGTTTAAAGTGCAAAGTATTAGTTGCGATTGTAAAACACGGTGGCTGGCTTCAAAGAAATGTAAATGACATCGCCGGCTGAATGTTTGCTTCGCGAATTGTTTGTTTCTTTCACTTAGGTTAACCGTAGGCTTTTATTGTGCTTTTATATGCGTGACAAATTTTGTACCCCTTTTCAAAGAAATTTTAAGATATTTCAAATTTAGAATATGTCAAACACTAATTATTTTATAACGATACATATTTTTGAAAATCGAACCAACTCATTCAATATTTCCACAGTTAAGTCTGTAGTTTACGCCAGCAGTATACATGTAAATGAAACTTTTTTAGCGGTTTCAAACGCGTAATTCATTAGGAAACTATCTACAATCTATTTTCTCTATTTTTAGTGCCATGTTTAGTTTAGTTGCCCTCTAAAATAAACCATAATATTTTGATAATTTTGATACCTTGCCTAAACACAACAATTCCAAAATACAAGGGACCAATCCGTTTAAAATTTAAATCGCACCCTCACGCATACCCTAAATAAATCCACCAGTACAGGAGGTAGGTACATATTTGATAAGCCTACATCCCTACCCATAGCGCTGTTCATTTTCAAGTAATTATAAGCATCGGTTAGGACTCTTTAAATATTTTTTACACAAAACCTCTGCCTCCTTAGTTCTGTAAAGATCTAAATGTTTCATTCAATAAAGGCGTATTTCCACCTCAAACAGTTTCTAAGACCTCTCATAGAAATATAATTTAGTTATAAAATTATATTTAGTTATTTACTTTCGACTGAGTTAATATCTCGCCTAATACGGATTTAAAAAATTACGTTGAATTTTCGTTCTGAATACATTGTTGACATACACGTTTTTTATCTGTAAGATCAATCCATTCATCTATATATTTTAAAACGATACAGGGGAGCAAAAAATTTCTATTGATATCCATAGCCCGTCCCCATAAAAGTTTATTTATAACGTATCTAAGGCCCGTCTAGTGTAAAATACAGTAAAGTAAATATGTAATCTAATTTGTTCGGCAAACGAACGCACGTCGCGCGGGCGAAAGATAACGCGCAACATGCAAAGTTATACATTATCGGGCCGACATCTACGTAAACTTCATTAGGAATTTGCTATTATTTTATGGGAATCGATACTGTCGTGTGTTCATCGCTATAAGGGTCGCTACACACGTACCACGGTTGCTACACATACCACGCTTGCTAGACTGCTCGGGCAATTGGTTAACTTGGGAGGTGCAATTTCCGCCCGCGCTTTCAACATCAAAGAAATGACATAAGCCACACGCTATTAAACTTCAAGACATAAAAAAAAAAATTATTTTATCTTAACAGTATAAAATAATGCTGTGTGGTGCTAGTTGGTAAAATATGATCTTACTTAGCTTATATCAGATCCTTTGTTTATCTGAAACTATTTTTCAGTAAGTCCTTATAATGTAAAGAAAAAAGAAACTTTACAGAAAAAAATGCAGCTATATAAATAAATTTTTTGTTTCGTTTCCTCTATAATAGGTTTCCACGGACTCGCCAGTCAGTTTTTTGTGACTTTTAGTCCTCAAATGTAGGTATGGTGTTTCAAGACTTGTTGGCATTATAAGTGAATCGCTCACGCCTCTTGCCCGCGAACTATGGTCGGGCAATTTCTATGATTGCAGTTGGATCAGTGGTTACATTGAGCAGTTCGTGTTTAGAAAGCCTTAGGTCAAAATGCAATCGCATAGTCCATGTATGGCGACCCTAAGAGCTCATAACTCGTCGGTATCAGGACGGCACCTCCGCTAATGCAGCGCTTCCAATTTCCGAGCGTCGCCGGCGACCCTCGCTCTCCTTCCGAAACGGCTGTTTGCTTTTTTACCGCATTCGTCATTGTCCAATTGTAAAAGCTTTTGTCTCCAGTGGTTCAACGTTTATTCAGAAGATGAATCCAGTTTGAAATTGTGTTTCCAATGTGACTACTTATGGCACTACGTTCACAATTTATGTTAGGAGCTAAGCGAAAAATTGAGTTGTTTCAGATGGATAATTCTAGATAGAATTGATGAATGAAGCCTTTATCTATAGCTACTAACACAGCTAAGCTAGCTATACATTAACATTTCACTGTAGTGATATATTATCACAAAAGAAACATATTAAGTATTGTCTCTAGTATACGCAAGTAGTACACATTTAACTACCTTCTAAAAGTTTCAAACGCGAAGTATATTTAATATTATTATGATAATGAATATCCTTATTTGCAAACCAATAAAAGTATCTTAAACAGTGAAGTGTATAATGATATTTACAGTTTCCTTATTAAAAAATCTTAAATTATTTTACATTATATATCTTATATCATTAAACTATTTTAAAACTATTAATTATTTATATAAATGTATATATGTTACTAGTTAGGATTTTTATATTTGCATTAATTAAATCATTGGGTTCGCTTGTCTTACGACATAGGCCTCCTCCAAGTATTTCCACAATGTCTTACAACGAGCTGTTCTTCGTCAAATAGCGTCCATGCTGCATGTTCCAAGTCGTATTCGCATCTGGTTACTGGTCTCCCTCTATGCCTTTTCCCTTCTCGTGGGTACCAGTTGATTATGTCGTTCGTCCATTTTTCAGTTTTTCTCATGAATTTTCCGGTCCATCGCCACTTTTATGTTTTTATGTTTAGCATGCTTCTATCCATGCCTTGGCATACTTTCAACCTTTCTACGTTTTACTTAGTTAGGGACCAGGTTTAGCATCCGTAAGACAGACAAGGCATTATACACGAATTAAATACCTTACTTTTTAATGTCTGAGGTATATTTTTGTTTTTCATTATACTTTTTAAAGACCAGTATCTTCTCCATGTGCTCGCTAGCCTGTGCTGGATTTCTTTATTCATTTGATTTAACGGTGATATAATTTGACCAAGATACGTGTACTCTTCCAATATTATTATTATTACGAATTAACTCATTATTACTTATCTTTTTATTTATTTTAACCTTTCGGATGCTTTCTGCAGCCGAGGTCACAGGAGGACCCGTCGCAACATCGGATAAACTATACTAGTTCGCGTATAATTTCGCGTTTTAAACCGTTAATTTAAATTTATAAAAACATTTAAAATTGACGTGTTTTACTAAATACTATTGTGTACTATAATCATTTACTGACATGAATTTATAATATTCTTAACCGATGTTCTAAGATATTTAAACATTTTCTATTTATAATCTGAACTTTTAAAGATAAAGACGCGCAAAAGTAAATACGTCAAACCTCACATGTAACACACATAGGTGTACAGATGTTGAACGCATTTCAATTTGTCAAATTAAATACACATGTGATTTTTGATTGAATGAATGTTTTGAGTTTATTTACCCGCTCGCAGGCACGAAAATACTTTATAACTCGAACCACTTAGAAGTTGTTACCGAATTTGGATTCATGGTGTTTCGCCTCGTTATTTCCCTAAGTTTAGCGAGTTTATCTAATGAATATTCTACAAGTTTTTATCATATTACAATTAATAAAGGCGTCAGACTCCGAAATCTGCGCAGCGAGTTCAAAGATGAATGTTTAATGATTGTGTTAGTGACTTACGATGGAAATATTTAGATCAAATCGCTTATTCTAAATAAATTAAAGATGATAATTTTCAGTTAAGCTAGCAACTTGCGGGTCTTTTTTAATGATAGAGTAGGACAAATAAGCATAGGGTCGGTGGGGTGAAACCCAGCCATATAACATCTAAATAAACGCGCTGTTGACCTATTTTGGGTTTGGATATTCGGAAATTCATAGATTGATTCAAACTTCACAGGTTCTCTGTGCGGATTCTCCGGACGGAATTTCGATATTTGCACCACTTATTTAATATCCAGATTTTCAAACGCAAGTTCAACATACTTCAGGAAAATTATAAATCGATTATAAAACTGTAAGACCCAGTGGGGATCGAATCCTCGACCCGTTGATTATTAGCCTTTATTAGTGGTGATTCTCTCTTCTCGCACGTGAAGTGATGGCTTCGAATCCCGCAAAATATACATTCTAAAAGTTTGTAGCATAAGTTGGCTAGAAAATAAAACTACAATAAGTAAAATACAGACACTTCGTTGTTTGTAATAATATTTCTTTGAATGTTCATAGTAAAAACCTCTTTTTTCTTAATCGAAAATAGACCTAATTCCATTCTAAAACATAGGGACTATTTTCGTTTACCGTGTGCAGTTTACCATATTATTGTCTCAGTTGGTTGTATCATACACAGTACTAATCCCGGAACAAATCTCAATAAGAGCGCGTGGCTGTAATCCCACCCGCCGCGCGCCCCGCACACCCGATTGGCTTTATTAAGGTGTAGCAGACCGCTACAATTATTATTTGTCCCTTGTTTGTGGTAGATGTCGTGTCTATGTCCGCTGGATTCACGTAATTAAGCTTTCGGATCTCCTCCTAATGTTATTTGACTTGTTTTCTCTTATTAATTTATAACCTTCTCGATCATTGTGTACACTTACGATATAAACTTATATAGAGATAACGTTACTTTGTTGCTATAATATATAATTAATAACTCTTCACGTTAATAGCGTTTAATACGAAATATGTGTGTGTGAGAAATCCAGTTTCCCCTCGTGAGGCATGGGACGTACACATTTCTGTATCCGTTCACTGATAGATTTTTATGAAAGGCAAGTAGTTGATCAAACATCTGTGTCCTGCCCGACCGAAACAAACTATTTCCCCGGAATTCGAACCTAGGACCTCTCGCGCTTTACACACTGCTAGGCAACACGTTTAACGATTTTTTAATTTGAATACATAATTGTTACATCTCATTAGTTTATATTAATTGTTTAATACTCCCTCCTAGGTTCCTACTAGTTTCGGAACATAGTCTCGTTCGGAGGTGACACAGTAGTCTGTTCAACTGCGTTCTTTGTCTTTGCTGATCAATTCTAGAGACAGACATTGTGCAAGCCCCACGTCCTATATAAGGAAAACAGCATATAGCTTTAGACGTTGTCTATGTAATCTTGATAAAAATACGTCACGTATATGCTTTATATAATTTAATAATTTTTTATTTCAATCTCATATGTATAATGTTTACGATTTTATTCTCTCCATATTAATTTTTGAGAAATGCATTACAATAATAAAAACACTTAATTAATTAAGTTTAACAAGCATTTCAAAAGCTAATTTTTTCGTTGAAATATTACATCCGCGCTCCGAGACAGCACGTTAAACGCGGGTACTTAGCGTTATTGAAATTCAGATTATAATTTACGTCTTTTTAACGTGAAATGTCTCTACGAGTGTTAAAGCACGTCGAAATGAAAGAGCGTAAATTGCGGATGCATTCAAGTTTGACAGAACACAGCTGAAGGAGCTCGCAGATTTAAGATATCATATTATACCGTAATCGGATGGGCGGGGAGGCGTCTCTCTTAAATTTACATTGCGGAAGCGGCGAACGCAACCTTTTTACTTGCCAACGAAACGCGGATTAGGGAATTTTAATTTACAACCACAACTCCCTCAATAATCTTGTGTATGCCCATGGTTTTGAATATTCCATGAAGTAATTGCGCATTCTGTTCGAATTTTAAATTAAACGTACTCGTTAACAACTTTCAGACACAAACACACACATGTGATTTTATATTCAATCAATTGTGTTATATATCATTTAAACATAATTATTTGATAACTTTAATATTTTTCACATGTTAGAGCAGCACGGAACAGTGTGGGTGCCAAGTCAAGACCTAAATCTCAGTTCAATTTATAATCGATTTGTAATTATTTGAATTATTTACATTTGACGAACTCGTTAGTTAAATGGTAGCAGTGTATTGCTAATGGTAACCGGGTGGTGGATTCGATTCCTATCGTTGAATTTCGTTTACATTTTAGATGGGTTGTCAGAGTATAAATAGTCCATCCAGTTCACGAATAATCGTCAACTGATAAAAAAGGCGTAAAATTTACTTGCGTCTCGGTATCAGTAGATATAGGTCGGCAGCGCATTTTGTTGAGATGTGGCTAGGGTACTTCACCTGCCATCAAGGGAACCCTATGCTTGTCCTCCTCTATAATAAAAACTCAATTGTCAAATGACAGATTATATAAATCAAAAACTTATGATAGAATTCTGTAGAGCAACATTCGACACGATGTGGACGTAAGTTTGATTTTTGCCCGTGCCTTTTTTTATTTAATCCCAATTTTTTTCATTCTAAAAATAAATGCTAATATTTGTTTGTTCATACTCTGCCTACTAATCTTGTTTAGAGAGCCCTTCAGTGGGATCCGAGGGAATTTTTATAAATATTAAAAAAAAATCATAACCGAATCAGATTAATTCAATTCTCAAAACATCCCTGTCTCTTGTTTACGCAAAATTAACTAATTCGGTTTCACAATTGAAACAACCATTCTTTCATTTTTAATTCGCGCTGCCATTATTACCGAAAGAGTACTTTTTTCTTATTCAAAAGTTAATTACACGAACCTCCAATTTGCCGTAAGCCTTTTATGCGTTCCATTTTAATGTTTTTAATGGCAGCTTGAAAGAAAATATGAGCTCTAAAAGAACATTTAACTATGCATGAGGAGACATCCTGTTATTTTTCATTTATGGTATGGCGTTGAACAGTTTCTATATTTTATAAACGCCTTAGGACCAAACAGGAAGTCAAAAAAAAAACTGTTTACAATAAACATGTTATGTATTAATAATGTAACTAGAAATATCAATACCAAACTAACTTTTCGCTCCATCGTAGTTCTGGGTGCTGTGAGGTGTTGACCACTAGACTAACGAGGAAGTTAAGCTATATACGTAAGCTAGCTAGCTAAGTATAAGGTACCATCTAGATATTGAAGAAACCCAATCTCCTTCAAACCACTTTCCATCAATCACTTTCAAACACACCCAAATCAACTCACACATACACACATTCTTATACACACCAACACTCATACTTGAACAAGAAAATGTTAAATTTAATGATACGGTAGAGCTGGAAACACAGATATTATTTACTTAAAAGGGTTTTATTTTTTCATACGAAATGACGCGAAGTTTAAACTGCCAGAAGTAAATATGACCATGAACATTTATTCAAGTATATATTAAGGTGAAATTGCATGAAAGTTGTTTGCCCGCGTATCCGCGAACTACATTAAATAGATGCGGTGCACCTGAGACGGGCCACGGCAAACTTGAAGAGTTGGATCATATCGTTCCCACATTGGGCGCCAATTTCACCTTTGATGTTGGCAAGATTACCTGTCGTGAAATCCTTTTGACATCTCACATTCGAGTACCTCAGATCTCGGATACTTCAACTATTTAACTCTTGGCAACTGGAGTGAGCTGAGTAACGATAGTTTTTAGGTGTAATTTAATGCTGTATCTGTCTAAATGCCTTTGAATAAACAATGTGGGTCAGGTAGGGAAGTACCCAAGTACTCTGTGGCTATAGTGCTCCCAGGGGATACATTCCCGATGTCTTCCTGCATCCTAATGTATCTTGCTAATAATAAAATCATTAATATTTAATAGAGTGGTCGTGTGTATATTTGAAGTACCGTTGGTGATAGAGAATTGTCGGTTTGTGTACATAAGACTTTCAATCTAGATGGTATAGGGTTTGATCCTCTATTTTGAATAAATGTCTAGTAATCTTGTTATAAGTGACAGAAACATGGTGAAAAAACCAATACCCAACCCCACCTTCCGGACATATCCACATTTTTTTTTAATATAGTGTCTCCATGTGGACTACCCCCCATATGATTCTATCTCCTCCGTAGGTTAATACTTAAACGCATTAAGCGAGAGATGTCCTGGGATCTATTCCGGGAACATCTCTCGCTTAAGAAAACAGACATAAATGTTTCTGCTCATAGGGGAGATGTGTTTCACACTATTATAATCTTGTTGTACATTTTAAATGATTAAACGGTTTAAAACGCAAAGTATATACGTTAAGATTTAACTTTTACAACGGCCCACGTTTCGGTTGCTTTGCAGCAGCTGTGGTCATAGGGGGGCGTTCAAAGTGTTTTATTTAAATAAGTAATACCTTCTTACGGACAATGTTTAAATTCTAAATGACTAACTTTATTTACAGATTCATTTCAAGCCTTAATCCAGTATCCGGACACCGGATCAGCTCAAATGGCTAAAACGGTGAGTACTGCAAACTTCTCTGTTTTTATTAACTGTTTGTGAAGTAAAGCTATAAAACAAAGTTCCTATTGCCTCACGTTTCATTCAACTTAATGACTCGCTTTCGAACTATCTGGAAATGAAGTGACTTCGCCTTAACTGCACTTCGGCGTGGACCATCGAAGACGCTACTATTGTTTCTATTGTATCGCTGTTGCGAGATTTTTCTCAAATATTCTATTTATTTATAAATTAACTGACACACGCTAAATTAATAAGATATGATTAGACAATATAAACAATGTTAAATTTGTTTCGGATTTAAAAAAATAGTGGCATGGTGGTTCGTCAACAATATCCATGCTCACCACCGTCTGAGCTACAATGGTTCGCTCGTCCAAATTCAACCGGTTCAAAGCATTTACATTCACGCGTTAATTGTTAGATTCTAGTTAGGTTTTACTAGTCTAAAATAGAGTAAAAATACTTAAAAACTAATATAGCAAAATTTCATCAAAATAATAGGGACGTAGACAATCAAAAATAAATATATAATAATTTAAATGAAAATCGGAAGTTTCTGCTAAAGAAATACAGATTATGACAATGATTCTCCTAAATTTTATTGATATTTAACAATAGATTTTACGAAACGAGGAACATTAATAAATAACTTTTCAGGTATCTTAATTGCATTGCCCTCACGAAGGTCTATAGCACTTATAAAACTTAGTGCAGTTAAAAAATTAACATACGCTCTAACAGTTTACTAAACTCCAAGAAGCCATCATTAGGTCACAGTAATACCATGTTTCCGGGATTATAAAAGCATATTTTTGGGACTTTTTAAAGATTAAAAAAATATTATGTTAATATTTGTTAAACCTTACCTATTTATAATATCGAATCAAATCATTTGTTCCAAATACAAAAATAAAACAAAACACTTGCTTTTGTTGTACCTGGAAGAAGGCACAACGCCGATTTTCAGTGATGCCCCATGTTTGACATTTGAAGTAAAACAGTACATATAAACCAATAATTCAACTAATTGAACCCTTTAGCAAATATTGTCAACATCCCTATTTCCCAGATAGTATTAGCGACATCGTAGAGCTATCGCCAGCTCAACAATAGTCCGCAGCGGTCGTTGTCGAATGGGACATCATTTTTCTCGAGCAAACTTTTCCCATTCCCTATTCATTTGCGTTAGAAGTTGCCCGTGCCGCCTACTGCAACGACTGTTTTAACTTTATTTCTGATGCAGCGTTCAGGGCAAATTAAATTTCGTTTTGCGGCTTCCGCAGGCTTCACGGGTATAATAATTATTATTGAGCCTTTTTCAACCCGACTTTTGTTAAGCGCGAGTTATTTAATACGATTGTAACGTGGTATTGTTTTTTAGGATTCCGTATGTAAAAATTCTACCAACTATGATACTTATTGACGGTTCTGAATTAAATTATTTAGTAGGTTGAAAAAAATTACGACACGGGCAGGAATTGAACCGGCATCTACAGCGTCCCGTGCTATTGCTCTAACCAATTGAGCTACCGTGTCCTGCACGTCGTCGTCCATTTTTCCTCGATACACATATCGCGCAATGTAACTTCGACCTAAAATCGATTTTTAATTTATACATTTCAGACCATGTTACTTATATACTCCCTCGGATCAGATGTCCAGTTTGTTCTTTTTGTTGGGTTTTTTCCCCGGTTGGGGTTTTCCCCCCCCCCCCGTTTTTTTCCCCCCCCCCGCGGCGCCTCCCCCCCCCCCGGGGGGGCGGGGGGTGGGTTTTGTGGGGGGGGGGGTTGTGTTTTGGGGGGGGGGGGGTTTTTTTTTTTTTTTTTTTTTTTTTTTTTTTTTTTTTTTTTTTTTAAGTCAAATATTATGTATTTTAGTTGCCGCTATAAGAACAAAATAAAATAAATAATAACTAAATCAATTTTGACTAAACACTATACATTATGAAATTGTTATACCTACAAGTATCGTGTTGTGTGTGAACATGAGTTTCTACAGAGATATGTATTTAAATAAAATACAATCTTACTAATCAAATCAAAGCATTCTCTAGTGAACGTAACAATTACATTAATACGATTAACGATGACAAAGCACTCTATACATAATAGCAGACATGTAAAATCCGTATTTCATATATTCGAAACAGCCAGCGTTTCGTATACATAAAACCATTCGCTGAATACGACTAAAGCGTAAATGCCTCTTGAATATTTCAGAAATAACATTGTGAGTTAATTACATTGAAATTTAATATTTAATTGTAGGTAACATTAGGTAGCTTATAAGTTGGCCGACAAATTAAAGCTCTGAAGCGGGGAAACCCTTCGCGAAAATTGAGATATCACTCGGGAAGCGGAATGCTGAAAACATAGTAACGCTAAGTCCTATCTGACGCGATTGAAGTTCCGCTATAAACCGTACTATGCGGGAGTAGTTCTTTTTTTAAAAATGGAACTCGTCGGTTAGCAATCATTATCTGTTTTGTAAAAAATTGAATAATCTGTTGTGTTCTTGTAGTTATCAATTCATGTATTTATAACTAGAGACCTGCCCCGGCTTTGCTCAAGTGCAATGCTGATACTAAATATACTACAGAAAAACTGAACATTACACATAAAAACCTTCCCCTTGAATCACTCTATCTAAAAAAGTGTATGCCACGGGCAGGAATTGAACCGGAATCCACATCGTTCCAGGTTGTTGCTCTAACCAATTAAGTTACAGTTAAGTGTTAAAAATGTACTTGCGAAATACAGACAATACTTAGTTTGTTGTATAAACGTATTAGCAGGCGTATAAGAGTCGCGGTAATAAGTCTACACTCGTTAAGAGATCCGACGTCGTAACACCGCTCGCTACGACTAACGAGCGTACAATGTCGGTACACGCTTATTTTATTACATTCTTTATCTTTAAATCTGAAACTTCAACTTTATTGCTCTCAAATTCTCCTCAGTGTTTGTAGCTTATATTTACATGGGAAGTATTCGTTCCTCACTGCATTTTTCAAGCAATTTCCTCAGCTAAATGCATCTACTGGAATTCAGATCTTACTTTTCACATCTCCTTTGATCTATTGTTTGTTAATATTGATGCTTACGAGATTGTTTAATAGACATTTGACTTGCACATAACGCTGTAGATGCCGGTTAAAGTCTTGCCCGTGTCTCTTTTTCTCTAAACAGATTATATAATCAAATTCTAATTGATATTATGTGAATTATATGTGAAAAATTGTTATGTTTTCAAACGTAAGAGATGTGTTCGTCTGTCATAAAGTGTAAATATGGAAGCAGAATATACAATTAATTTAAAATATAATATAATTAATAAATAAAACTGTGGAGCCCTAATACCCCGTCCCCCCACCCTACTTACCGCACACACGCCACAAACGGAGCGTTCGTTCGGCCGCGGATTTTTCTAAAAATGAAATTGAAACGTCCCGCAAGGTAAGTGGCAGCAGAAGTAAGAGGTACAAAGTGAAGTGAAGCCGGATAGTGCTCCAACCACAAAGGGCAGAGTCGGATGTTGAGCGCTGAAATCCCCCGATCCCCGACTATGATCCTTGACATAAATCTCTAACCTCGCCATCAAATCTTTTCAGAGGGCGGCTTACATGGAGACACGAAATGTAAGCTCTTAATGTGCTCAATTCTTGTACCTACACGCCGCAGCTCGCGTAAACATGCCCCGAGTCGTAAATATACCTATTTCACTCGAAACCCTATTTACCGATGTACCTATAAACTACGTCACCTCGTGATCTTGGACTTTTCTTATTGCGGTTTCAGGTATTTTGCACTGCACGAATGAAGGACGAAAATGCCGTTAGTTTATACGTAAACATAACCCAATAACGTACACAAAAAAAAAGAACGAAAAATTTACTTATTGTGGTAGCCTTAAATACAAATTAAACATTATTTTTATGCACAACATCTCACACAATACTCTTTATATATCCATTAATTTCGTCACCTCTAGCAAAGTTGATTTGTTTTATTTATTCAGGTTTTAGTTAGTAATATAGAAGAAATATCGGTTGGTGTATTACCACGTTGAAAAAGCTAATAAAATTACATACCGAATCACATATTTTAAGCTAAGTAAGTTTTAGGATCATTTCTAAATCCTACCTCCTTTTTATAATTTACAAATCAAATCAAAAATCATTTATTCATGTAGGTAGCTTCTATACTTATGAATGTCAAAACAGGTAAAAATTTTAAACTCTAAACTTACAGTTACTACCAGTTCCCAAGTTAGGGCGTAGAACGAACGAGAAGAACTGGCAAGAAACTAGCCGCCACTCCTTTTAATTGCCAAGTTTTTATTACATTTCCTTATATTCCTTACGCACTCATTGTGTACATTTCTTCCTTGATAGAGCGGGTTCCTCCATACCCCAAGCATTTTTACAGATATAAAACACAGCGTAGCTATCACGCAGTTGACTGTTACAACTTGCTCAAGTATTATGAGTTTGGTAGAATAAAGAGAGAAGTCTGTTTCTTTAATTTAACGGATATTTAAATAGTTTTGAAATTATTAATAACAAAAATGACTGTTTCCCTTCTTTCTATTTCTTAAGGTACCATCAAACCAAAAAGATTTTAATGTAAATCTTGAAATTAAACTACATGTAATTTCAACTTTAATGTAATTGACAGATGTAAAACTAACCTATTTCAAACAGCATGATCCCAAAATAGCTTTTTCACATCAATGTACCTGTTCAAAATTTCACATTCCATCCGATAAAACGTATCGCTTTTAAAATAGTCCACACGACACTCATATGCAAATATTAGCGAGGCCCAGAGCGCTGTAATAAGCCATTTGTAGCACGTAGAGTAATCAAAGCATTGCTACTCCATCAATAAGCGATGATTGATTGTGATTCACTGAAATACGGACTCAGAACCGCCCAATGGCGCCAGTAATCCATAACTATGTCGGGTGACGATGTCGTTAGTGATCATTCACACGATGGCTTCCTATGGCACACGTTCCACCTGGCACGGGAAATGCAT